AGACAAAACAAAACAAGTCAAGAAAACAAATCAAGAACACTTAGATGCCGAAAACAATTAAGCCTCTTTTAGGCAATCCGAAGTCTCATAGTCATCTATCTCATGGTCGAAATCTTCTTCACCATCGTGATGAACTAAATGAGCTTCTAGATTCTTTTCAAACTCTCTTGATAGAGATCAACGAGATGCTTAGGTGTCCTGCACGTCTTAGTCCAATGGTTTCCCCATTCCTCATCAGTGGCAAACAAGTCTATTTGAGTGTTGTGGTTTGGGTATAACGCGGCCTCTACCTCGATTACGACCAAAGTTGGGTCGGCGGCCTTAACCATATGAATGGTTTCCTTGATCATATAAATTATAATTGCCACTTCTACCACGTCCATTCCATTTACCATGACTGTGGCCATGATACTTATCTCTTTGGACGTGGTTAGACTCTTTAGTCTCTTTAGGCTCTTCAGCCCAATGGGCTTCTGATAATGGGGTAGGATCAGGAGGTCTCATTTCACTATTTATAACTCATTGTTTTGCTCAGCAAGTAGCAAAACAAGAGTTTAGACTTGCATATGTGGTAAAAACCTTTTTCACGATATTGTTGCTGAGGCAATATATTGTTTGTGTGAAAGGTCGAGAATGCTTTCTCTAGCAAGTCATTCTCAGTAACTTCCTCACTACGGAATCTCAGTATTGACATTATTTTAAATAGTGCTGAGTTATACTCATTCATGGATTTAAATTCCTGGAATCTGAGATTCTTTCGATCGAATCGGGCTTTTGGGTAATAGCACCGTTCTTTGGTGGTTATATTGATTTTTTTTTTTTTTTTTTAACTCTGTCCTGAGGTCCAGAGGATTCTTAATAGTGAGGTACTGATTTTGAGACTCTCATTGAGGTGATGGCGTATGTTAGTAATCGCCTTATATCTTTCTCTTCTGGTGACATTGTTTCCTTCCACATTAGATTCACCAAGCCCTTTTTCCTTTAGGACAATCTCAGTGTCCAAAGTCCATTGTAAATAATTGTCACCAGAGGTATTGAGTGTCGTGTATTCATAATAGTTGATTTCTGACATCTACAATATATAGAGTTAAATGAGAACTCATGTAATCGGTTAGACCAAGTCATGCGGTATTTAAGACCGAGCCATGCTTGTTTTCAGCAAGTGTTTTCTAAACAATCATGTTATATATATATATATATATATATATATGGATGAAATCAACCCTAAAAGATTGATCTAGTATGCAACAAAAAAACAACCAAACAATCGGATCATACTAGATTAGGATATTTGGATTTCGCGGTTAAGTTTTAGGGTTTTAGCATCCGCGATTTATAGTACTAGGGTTTTTGCTAGGGTTTCGGTTTTATGTATGGAACTTTCTATTTATGAAAACTTTCCTTATATGGAACTTTCCATTTATGGAAACTTTCTATTTCTCATCTAGAAAGAAATCCTAAACAAACATATACTTTAGGGTTTTGGAATATTTCCTTATGAAGTGGTAACTTTCCATTTTGGGAAACTTGCTATTTTAGAGAACCTTTTATTTTGGGAAATTTGCTATTTTACGAAACTTTCTATTTCTGGAAATTTTCCTTATATGGAACTTTCTATATATGGGAAATTTGATCTTAAACCGTGACTTAGGGTTTATTAAACCGGTTTAACCTAGGATTTAGGGTTTTGGTTTACTTTCGGTTTAACCTAGGGTTTAGACCAAACATAAGTTTGGTTAGGTTTAGAATTAAACTTCAACTTGCAGTTTGGCTTTCGCGATATAGGATCGCGATTAGGGTTTCTATCAATCAATCCCTAAACCTCAATTCGATTCCATGATTTAAAGAGCATTCAATCTCTCGAATTTTGGATTTAGGGGATATCATCGCGATTTAGGATTTAATCTTTAACAATAAACAAAATCAATTTTAAAATCTTAGATAATCATAAGATCAAAATCGCGATTAGGGTTATAGATATTTAGGGATTTATGTTTACCTTTTAACCACTGATTGAATTCTGAATTGATTGGACCGGGAGCTAAAGACCTCGGTAACTCACGCTGCTGCAACGAACCGCAAACAGTACCACAATGAACAGTACCGCAATGAAGAGTGTCGACGATGAACAGTACCGATGATGAACAGTACCGCGATTGGATCTAATGATGTGCGGTTTTTAGGGTTTTAGCGATTTTTAGGGTTAGAGCTTTTTAAAGGTGGTTTTATTTCTCTAGAGCAAACTCGTGCTGATAACGTGTTATAAACTGTGTAATCTTATTAACACATAAGAGAGTATATATATAAGTTTACACGGAAACACATAGAAGGAGATAAAATCTAATGACCCTTGGGCCGATTATGAAGTCCATCTATATGTTTTATAACACCTATGATCTTCACCGAATTGTTCAGATTAGTTAGCGAAATTACATTTTCATCTCTACAAAATTCTTGGATAAAAGAGTTCGAATCTATTTTTCGTAAATAATAGAAAAAAAACATCGGTTACAAAAAAACTTAATTGAACCAAAATAAATTAGAATCACAATATCGTATTTGTAATCGGACGTTGTTAGTTAGCTATTCAAATGATAAAAATTATAAAGTTATAAATTCCAGTGCAATAAAAAAAACTAATTAATCCTATTGATTTTAACTCGAAAACATTATCTAGAGACCCATCTTATATATCAAAACAGAAGTTCAAATGCTCACGTTCGCTCTCTATGGACTAATGTTTTTGCCCAACCATAATGAAATTGCACTTGGACCCTATAAATCTAAAGACCCATGAACCAATACTACCTCTTTGGCTAATAAGAAGGAAAAAAATAACCGATTAAATTATTCAATCATTTAGATAGATGAGAATATATGACGCGTTGATGCAATAAGCGTTTGTTGATGCAATTATATGGCTCAAACTATTTTTTTATTCGAAAGATTTGGATACTTTTGAATATATTTTTCTTTTTCTTACTTACATCAATGCCATAGATGATTTTTTTATTTCTTTTTGTTTTCTGGCTTAAGAATTAACTATTAATAATGTTTTAATTTCAAAAGCGATGATAAAACTAAAATTTAGTGTTACTTTATTTTTCAGTTATTTTAAAACTAAATTAAGCACAAAAACAGATATATTATTGATATTTATCTTTAAGTATGATACAAAGATATCCTAAAAGTGCATGACAAAAAGAAACATGTGGTGTTTTGCCTTATTTGCAAAGTCAGTGGTCTCAAAATTCCATAATTATATATCAGAGTTAAAACTAACTTTGTAAATTTAAAAATTAAATAAAAACTTATTTCAATCGTCTCAGTATTCATCTAACCTCATTTATAAAATCATGTTATTGAAGCTATAAAATTTCTATGAATGTAATGATAGAAAATAAATATATTACAAACATCATCTACTTCCATTCATAAGTTCAAGAGCTTGTATATATGATATTTGTATTATTTAGAAATATATACTTTTTAGAATCAATTAGGCTGGTTAAGCACATTTTGTAATCCTATTACAACCTCTTCATTTTTAATGCAATTCAAATTCTTTTTTAAAAAAAAAGAAGTATATACTTTGTATACGCATGCCGATATTATATTTGAGAACATCATTTTCCGCCGGATGACATAAATTGGTGTACAAAAAAGAGATTCATTTGCAAGTGACGTTGACAACATAACATAAAGTACTCATCAACTTATTTTGGACGACCCCCCATTTCTAATTTTTTTTCGGGAAAAAAATAATGTCTCCTATGTAAAATATATAAGGCATGAACTCATTAGCTATTTGTTGTTTTGAAGAGTACACTGTACACAATACACTCACCAACTTAAACTTACGAAAAAAATGGATGGAAAAGAAACAAGGCTTGACAATTATGCATGTTGAAAACATCTTGTGTTAAGGAATAATTTCAAGTTTTTGATTAGTCTGTAGTTATAGCGTTTACGTTAAACGGACCCAAAAGTTTTTTTTTACAAAATACTCATGACATTATTATTTCAGATAATCAGTTAGGTATTGGAGTTTTGATGCGTAGAAAAACTAGAGATCATATACATATAAATGCATGAAACGTCATCAATATCGTATGAACTTTGTTTTGAAAATTATGGTCTCTATGCATATCAATAAATGCATGTAACGTCATCAAAATGAAACTGTGATGTTACAATAAGTGATATGTAATAAAAGGTAATAATACTCAGTATCGAGTGAGTGAGGAAAAGATACAGTATGATGATCTTTTGAAGTATTAGACAAATATTTCAAAATTTCTAATTTAACAAACTGACCAAAGGTAAAACTATGGACCGTGACTAGTTGTGACGGCCTTAAGACGAAAACGGTCAATGCCATTCCACATGATAGAGTTCAAATACGATCAATTCAACATGTCATGTAACGTAAATCATGTTAGATTTTCCAAATGTACATTTAGATTGTATATAGATGTATCTCAGTCAGTTACAAGAAATATATATATTGTGGTGGTCTTTTGGGAAAAAGTCCACTCTAAAGCATTCCGGTGTGTTTCTACCGGAACTAACCGGATCGGGCGATAGGGTTTCTCAAAAAAAAAAATTCCGCAAAAAAGAAAACTCTGAGAAAAAAAGAAATACATTCCCGACAGGGACTTGTGCATTGGATCGTGATCTTTTGACACATTCACGTTTTTAATTTGTATACTTTAGATCTTTAAAATTGGAGTGTCATTGTTTTATCCAACACAAAGCCGTGCAATTATTTAATTTTTGTAACCTGGTTTTAAACAAATATCTTCATGGCAGTTATACGTTGGGTCTTAACTCTATTTATGATTGTCATATTTGGAATTTTGTTAGTGGTCATACTCAATAACAAATGTTAAATTGTAACATCTGTTACGTGGCTTGCATGATTGATGAACAACACAAAAAAATACTTCTAGATATTTGTTTTTGGCTAAATGGAAAACAAAGAAACATAATCCAATCTAAAAACAAAAAACATAATGCATTTTCAAACAGTAATAACATTTTACTCCCTATAATTTAATATATTCGACATTGTTACTCATTGATAAAACCAAAATTTTGCTAATCATCATATGAGAAAATAATAAATTTTGTAAGCAATGTGTTCTTCAGGCCTCTGTGTGATTGATATTCAGTTCCATGGGCTCTTTGTCTTTTAGCCGTAGAAATCAAGCTCTGCCTTCTTCAGTACGCATGAAACTCTTTCAAAGAACTCTGTTTCACTTTCCTTTACTTCCTCAAGAGTCTTAGCCTCGTGTTCATCCGCCTATTACAACATAAATCATACCTCAAAATGTAACAAACCCGGATCAAAGCGATAAACTTCATGTAATGGTTTCAAAAGCTATTATCATTAAGCAAAACCAGACCTCTTTAAACTTCAAAAGAATCAAGTTCGAGACTGTTGCTGGCTTCTTTGCATCCCATCTGATTAATCATAACTTCACATTATATTTTTTGTCGAATTTCCATTGAGCTTATTACGATCTGCGGAGTAAAAGGTGTGAATTAACATACCTTATGAGCATCAACTCATTCATGGCTCGCCACATCCCTCTGCCAACATCTTTTGCAGTCTCATCTCTAGCACTTCGTCCGTGCCACAACTCTTTCACTATGTACATCACTTCCTCAACATCCACCTACAAAAAACAAAAGGAGATTAAATTTTAATCATTATCAGGAAATGGACCAAAGTTTAGAGGAATTCTCAAGAACCTGCTTATAACTTCGCAAGCAGTTTCAAGTGTCACATAAGAAAATCAGTTACCGTTTCTCTTTCTATTAGTATTTTTTCAATATAGCGACAAAGTGCACAATATAATATCAGTGAGACCAATATTTATACCTCGACTTCTGCAGATGTGCCATAAACTGTCTCCTCATGCTCAATAAGGCGTTGATGAAGCAATCGGTAATGATCCAAATCTAGATTCACTATAGGCTCCATCTGAACTTGCACACCTGCAAGTTGTGTTATAACATAGGAGGCCATGATTTGTCCAAAAATAGCCGGGATGGTTCCGAGAACAGGAATTATCCGAACACGAAAGCCAGGAACAACCTGTAATCACACACAAGCTAATATGATCAATGACTAATGTAAAGATTGGAAGTAAATGTTCAGTGTTTCAAGAACTAAAATTAGTTACTTGATAATCTGAAGGATTCTCGTCTTCCCCATTTGGCCCCTTAAAAGGAAGCAGCTTTGCTTTTGGTTTTTCTAGGGAAAACACAACAGGAATGCCTCCTTCAATGCCGTGTTCTCTCCTCAATCTGTGTCTTACCTGACAAATCAAGAACGATATAGGAGATTAAAAGTGAGTGTACTGAGACTCGACGATCATCAATTATTGGTATGATGAATGCCTTAAGATAGTGGTTTATTAGAGGAAAGAGTTAGAAGGGTTACAGATCGAGATAATGGGTCAATTGTTGACTCTCTTATATCAGCCACTCTGATTCTTGTTGGGTCAGCTCTAGCACCCGCACCAGTTGCACTCAGAACTTTCAAACCCCTCTTAACGCATGCAGCCAAAAGTCCCACCTAACATTATATTTGAAATGAGGCAATTATATCAGCGTGTATCACATGTCTTAAACCAGAGGTAGTTCTCAAACATCAGAAATGATATAATCTAAATCACTATTGTAAATAGACAGATCAACTCAAGTCTGTGAAGAAAGGGTACCTTTGTATCGATGTTGTCAATGCAGTCCAGAACAAAATCTGGGTTGCCCGAAAGAATTTCTTCTTCAGATGATGAATCATACAGCATCACCTTGGCTTCTATACGGCATTCAGGAAAGATTGAAGAGAAATGCTTCTTGAGACATATAGCTTTCGGAATACCAACATCTGCTCGTGTTGCAACAGCGTGTCGATTTAATGATGATAGTGACACCTTCTCATGTATTTAAGAATAAGTTCATGAATATATGTAAAGCGGACAAAAGTTCTTCTCTTTAATGCTTAGAAGAACATAAGTGGATCAAATTTTGTATTGCAAATATCTCTAAAACAGACCTTAAATCTATATAATGAAGTAAAAACTGAAGGCAAATATAACCAATGATACCTGATCAAAGTCAACAAGGAGAAGCTTGGCAACACCTGACCTCAAGAGCATAGATGAAGCATGACTCCCTACACCTCCAAGTCCAATAACCACAACATATGATCCAGTTACTTTACGCTGCGACTCAAGACCGAAAAACTGGATATTCCTAAAGAGATATAAATCAGCAGCATAAACCATTTAGTATCAACATAGCACCAAGCAATGTGCTTTAACCTCAATACAAAAAGGTCCCTACCTAGTTAAATGTTCAGAAACAATTTCATCTTTCAAAAGATCCTGACCAACTGCTACAGTAACTGGTCTTGTTTCAGATTCAATACCATTTCCTGCAGTTAACAGTGATTTCATCAAAACTTAGTAATACAAAAAAAATAACAGAATTTTTATGAACAAACAAAAAAAAACTTGCCATTGCAAAATCACAAGTACCTAAGAAATTAGTTTCTGGGTTTTCTTTAAGCTGCTTCAGTGAAGTCCTGCAATGGATAAAAACTCGAATCAGCTTTCAGTTATCTCGAAGCTACTTAAGAAATTGAGAGTCTAGAGATGGTAAAAAAATAGGGTTTTTGCCTGGAGAGAAGTTTAAGGAGAGCGACGGTGGAGACGGATCCGATTAGAGCTCCGGCTCCGACGAGACTCAGATACTTTAATTTCTCCTCCATTACCGTTTAATTACACTTTCCGAGCAAAAAGACACGAATCGAATTTTAAGGTTTTATGAATGGGTTTAGGGTTTATTTTATTAAACATCAGTGTTTAATTACTTATCATTTATTTTTTAAACCTCATATTTTTGTGTTTCTTGATTTTAAGACCCTAATTTCTAAATAGAGAAATATTTTACTTTCTTCAAAAGCAGTTGTTTGTTTTCAAAGCATTGCGGTAGTTTTCTTCTTTCACGACTTTCTTATAAGTTGATCGCTTAACGCCTACAATAACTTTTAGGTTTGGACGTTCGGATATTCGGGTCGATTTCGTTGCGTTTGGTTTCTTTCGATTTTAGTATTAAATCTGTATATGTATCGAAAAAAATCGATTCAGTTCTGCTTCTTTCAATTTTAGTTTTAAATCTATATAGGTGTCGAAAAATCCATTTGGTTCTTGTTCATATCCGGTTCTTTTTGTTCTTGAGTTTTGTATCCATTCGAGTTTTTTTTTTTTGTTTTTTTTTGTATTTCGGGTATGTTTGGTATTTCGGATATCTGCGGTCTAAAATAACTAAAATTTTGGGTACATAACTGTATTTCGAATATCCAAAATATTGCGGCAGTTGGTAGCATATCTAATTTTTTTCAGAGGGCATAAGAAGCATGCCTAAACTTGTATTTCGAACGCTCAACTGCTATTAGGAAATTCGAGTGTCATTGTGATCCGTACAAGGCAAGTTAGGTATCCCGCTGAACATTGTTTTTGTAATGATTAAACATGCTCTTGAGGGCCGACTGGAAGACTATTGGTTCGAAAGATTGAGGTTCCTACTTTAGGCATATGTCAAAAGCATTAAACCACAATGCTGTCTTATGTATTTGTTGCCTTGTGATTGGTGGATGTAAAATAACTAACAATTAGATTTTAAAAAAAAAACCTAATTTATACAATAAATAAACTAATCTATACAATTTAAATTCAAAATCTAATTACCAACTAAATCTAAATAAATTACAATCGTACATTTAATAAATTAATTATAACATTTACATTTATAAAAAAACTAAAAAAACTACACTATATACATCATTAACCTGTTTATTAGCCTTTAATTATTCTTTTTGCCTTTTTGAAACATGATTATAATTAATGGTGACAAAACCTACGGAAAAATGCTCATTTTACTCCCCAACTATGTGCAATTAACACAATTATTTCCCAACTATCGTGTGCACAAATTTAATCCTCAACTTGTCGTTGACTTAACAATTTTGGCCCAAAATTTGATCAACGTTTACTAGTTAACTCGAGAAACGTTAATTGACTCGATTAAAACCTAATAAACTCAGAAAATCTCCAAATTTCCCCCAAATTGAAAGCTAATAACTAGGGTTCATAACAATCCCTTCGAATTAGAAGCTTATTCCTTCATCTATTCATGATATTCTCTTCAAAATATGCGAATTCGATTTCAATCTCTATGTGTCTCTCAATCGATCTTGAGAAGAAATCACTTAGGGTTCTTAGCTTTCAATTTGGGGAAAATTTGAGGATTTTCTGAATTAATTATGTTTTAATCGAGTTAATTAACGTTTTTCGAGTTAACTAGTAAACGTTGACCAAATTTTGGGCCAAAATTGTTAAGTCGACGATAAGTTGAGTATTAAATTTGCGCACACGATAGTTGAGAATAATTGTGTTAATTGCAAATAGTTGGGGAATAAAATGAGCATTTTCACCAAAACCTACCTACTAAGAGTTTTTTTTTTCTTTTTCTTTTTGGACAAAACCTAGTAAGATATCAAGAGGGGCAATTATTACTTGTGAAGTCACTTCTTACCAGCATTTTGCTCAAAAAAAAAAAAAGAAGAAGAAGAACTGAGGATATATTATTGTATGATCAACAAGAAGGTGAACAATTTATTTTAGATGCTCAGTTACATGAACATAATTTTTTTCACTTTTTACACAAAATCATATTCTTTCTTTCACATCTTTCCAGGACCTCCAAAATATATGATATGTCCGACCGGTAATCCTGAATCTAAATCCTCGTTTACTTTATAACTACGATTGTTATCCGAGAATGTCTCTATATTTTTTACCATCCTATCAATATTAAAATTCTCATCAACTGTAGTTATATTACATACATGTGCATCGTAATATGGATCTAACAATGGAAAATAACCATTTCCCATACGAGGACCCGGCAGAGATGCACTATATACTTCTCCTCCCCACTCGATACTGTTACCCAAACTCTGTTGAAATATATTTGCTGGCCAAAACCCAATTTGTATTCCTCCAAACTCGAGCCACCAATTACCATTTGCTTTATCCTTTGATCAATATCCACATCAAAAATAGAAACATATTACAATTATTATATAATTATAAATAAAACATGTCATACATATTGATAAAAACTGTTAAAGCCACATATAAACTTCCGAATGAATAAAAAAAAGCTGTTGAGTTTTGTGTTTCTTTGCGTGTGATATTTATTTAATACCTATATTTGTTTGTTTCTTATTATTTTTGTTATACGACGTTCTATCAAACATAATAACATTATAGTAAGTTATAGAAAAAGAGGAAATAAATAACTAGCAAACCTTTAGTAATCCATATGTATCATATGATACTTGTTTAGAGCCACGAACACCAGGAGGACCTCGAAGCACACCAAGAGGAATATCTGAACGGACCAAAATGATCCCAGCTGGACACATGCTGTTATAACACTCATTTTTACCTGCCTATACAATTTATATATATCATTATGATGGCGTGATTTATAATATACATACGGGATGAGAAAATGGAGACGTAGTCGTAATTAGTAAATGATATCATGGAAAAGCAAAAGGATATGACGGACAAATATGAAAGATGTTAAGAAATTAAAAGATGGACAAATATGAAATCTAGACCCAAAAAATATAAGAAAATCAATCAAGATATAATGCTTGAACTATATGCGAAAATTTTATATTAAAATATAGTTTTAAATCGTGGTTACAAGGTATTTTACAAAAATATAATAAATACATATATAAGTATATAAGTATAAGTATATAAGTAAAAATATGATAACATATGTCATTGAGTTTCTTATATAGTTGAAACGTTTGTGGCATTTTAAGTGTCATCAATATATAAAATGAGGAAGTATTTCTTAAAAAAGTAATATTACTCAATATTTTATCTATTATATTGGACATAGATATATATAATTACATAAATGGTTAATGTAATAACATAAATTATAAGTTATTAATAAATTTTCACAATGGATATTTAAAAAAATTAGTGTATTGGTTTTTTTTTATTTTACGATAAATTACACTACAAACTTTTCATTTATAGTTTTTGGTTGGGTTGAACATCATTTTTGTTTGTTTCAGTTGTTTATAATATCAACAATCTACAAAATATCTAGAATGAAATTATAGAAAAAAAAAACGAAACTAGCTAGTGAGGAAGTTTTTTTTTGTAAAGATATATAATGTGTGTTTAATTTACCTAATAAACTTTTAAGTAATTTAGGCAAATGATAATTTTATAAAGTATTTTAATTAAAATGCATTTTATATAATTAAATAAGTTTATTTTTCAAAAAAAAAATTGATTCGAAGGTATATAAGTAATTAACTTACTTTCGTATAAACAAAACTTCGTGTTTGCATGTCAGGATATAAACTCGGATCTACCTGAAATTTAATAAATTTATGGTAATAATATTAAGTAAGTATACTAGATTTGTAAGCAATGATAATAATACCAATTTATCATGATTTATAATTTTATATTTTTTAGGCCGCCACTCAAATTAAACATAAAATGTAGAAATAAACTTACAGTCCATCCAACTTGAATAAAATCATCTCCAATCTGAAAGTGCATACGAGCAGAACTAAACTGCGGATATCTAACTTCAGGATCATGTACAGAAATAACCATTGATGCTCCAGTATAGCTTTTCTTTTCTCCTCTCTTGGTTCGAGCAACCGCATACTAGTCATCATAACCATTCATGATCAATTTTTATTTTGAATTTAATAGAATTCTATATATTGAGCAAAATAATGAAACAATATATTTTCGCATCGTTTTATAAAGATGACTGCACAAATATTTAAAAAGTTTTGTTAAATTTTATTAACATTTATGATTTTTTATACTAATACTATAATTAATATTTAAAAGGTAATTAAGTAAAACACACTTATGTTTCTTAGAAACTAGAACAATTTATACAATATAAAAAATAGTTAAAACATCTTATAAAACATAAGGAAGGGTACTACTTACATGATGTTGGTCACCATGGACAATATATTGATTATAAGTGAAGTTCCAAGAACCATGTGGCTTAAATTTGTTGGAATACGAATTTAATCTCAAGAGTTTGTCTTTGGTGACTCTTTGTATGGGTATGGTACCCATGGGACACCCTACACCATTTTCCCACAAGAAACCAAAATTTTTATCATTTATCTTTCTTGTTCTTGAATTATAAAGGGATGATAGATGGTGCATCTACATTTGAAAATGAATTTTGTATTAGTGATAAATAATGATCATATTCACATATATTAAATTTATTATGTACTTTGTAGTGGAGTAAGTGATTTTTCATCGTGAGATGGTCAAACGCTGGTTGTTTGTAAAAATCCACACATTCATATGTATCTCCATGTGTAGTCTATCATCCATAAACAAGATTAGAAAATATTTTGTAAACTTCACATATCTCTACAAAATTCATTTATATATGTATAAATCGAGGTAAAGAGTATAGCTCTAAAAAAGTAAGATTAAATTAAACGGACTTTGATGAATTTAGCAGCATGTTCGTCGACGACTTTAAGTTGTTTTTCCATTTCAAAGAAAGTGAAATTTTGCAATGTGTCTGCATCCACAAAATGATTATTGATACTCGCTATATCGCTGAAACATAGGATATAGCCTAACAAGAAGAACAACATTCTTGAAAAACTTAATTTCATATTCTCTATGAAATAGGGTTATAGTGACAATCAAAGAGTAAAGAGAGATTTATATAATAATATCAAAATAAATGAGATAAAGAGAAATATAAAGAACATTAATGTTTTCTAGATACAGTGATTTTCTTTTTCATAAAAGTTTAACTATATAATTAATTCATTTAGTTTTTTTTTTGTTAAGTGTTATGGTAAAAGATTATTGTTATTACATGTATTGTGTATTGATTAAAAGTGTGTAAATCTAGATAACTAACCTTTGAAGTTAACTTGATATATTATTATCTTATTATATAAACTTTGGTTTTTAAAGTTAGTAACTCACATGATTGCGATATGTGTAACTTTATCAATTAGATGTTGACACGTGTTAAAACAATTTTGACTTTCTTTTCTTTTACATAAGAAAAACTAATTAAAAAAAATATTTACATATACTAATTATTTACATGTGTATATCTAATTTTTTTTAAGGGTTTTGTTCACATTCCAACTCGCCAATTTTTGCAACTTTACCTTCAACTTCCAAATAATGCAAATTAATCTTATGTAGTCAAAAATAACTCTTATACGTTTATTGTAAACGTTTTCATTGTCACATACATTAGATTTTTAAAATTGGTAGAGTTGAGCTCCTCGTCGCATGGGATTCGCTTTGACATATTATTTATCAAAATCATACCAAATTGACGGTAGCGAAAGAGTTATATTGCGTATTATTGTTGACTTTGTATGATTAATTTGCATTTTTTGGAAGTGGAGGGTTAAGTTGCGAATATTGGTGAGTTTGAGGGTTTTTTTGCACAAAATAATTTTAGTAATATTATTATAGTTTTAGACGTAACTAATCAGTAAGCGAGCAATTTGATAAAAAATTTACACAGCAAATAATTATTGAATAATTAAAAATAGTAGATGATAAGCTGGTTGTTTGAGAAAGAAAAAAAAGTTGGATGGATTATCCTAGCTATAAAACAAATTAGACTAGTTTAGGTAAATTTTAAATTTTTCTAAAACAAATTTATGTTACTTGTGATTGTCTTTCATAATCCATCTTAAATTTTGTTTATGACCATGACCAATCATATAAAGTTGAGACTGAAATTATTTTAGGTACCATAACTTGTCAAAAACAGTTCTATTCACTAGGGATCATCATTTCACACTCGAAAGTGGAAATCATCTAATCCTTCCAAGATTTGCATTATCTGTAACAATCACAATGGTTAAGAACAAACGATAAAGTAGAGATTGTATATATCGCCATGCCCCAAATTCATATATGCAAATGCAATAAAGAGTAATACTAAGAACAATACAAGATGCCACAAAGCATCCAATTAACACTGCAAAGTTTTGAATCTAACAATGTGCTTATTGCAAATTGCTTATAGATTTCACCGCAAGCTAAACCCGAGATACAGTGATACTCGGCTTACACAAAAGGTCGGTAAATAGGAGAGCAAAAGAAGAATCAGTTTCTTTATTTTTGCGAAAGAGAAAAAAAATGTGAAAACCATAGCAAGTTAAAAGCTCTCACTTCTTCAATAGCACGGCACTGCACTGCGCCATGATCTTTGATGCTCTTGTGATCGAGTTTGTCATGTAAAAATTCTCAACCACGGCTTGGAACGGTGTTGTGCTCATTGTCTCCTTGCATTCAGGTTTCAATGAAGGCCCAAAAGCAGCTGGCTCTCGTTCATCTGTGTGGACTAGATTTGGTGCAACGCTCTTGATTCTTGATCTAACACCTTCGATTGAGTTGTATGGAAGCTTCACACCCGAGACCTCGGATAAGGCTCTCACAATCTTCCAGTCATCTCTTGCATCACCAACTGTTGGAACAGCTGGAACAGTCTGTTGGGTAAATCCTTCAGTATTTTCATAGGTTCCTTCTTTCTCGGTGAAGGCCGATGCAGGGAGAATTACGTTTGCACGGTAAACCGCTTTATCTCCATGGTGTCCTTGGTAAACCACGAAGGCGTCTTTAGGAATCTTGTCAACATCTACATCGTCTGCTCCCATCAAGTAGACGAATTTTGCAGACTCGAGGGCTTTGGCGGACTGTTGAATGAGACCGAGATCAAGAGCAGCCGCTTGGGCAGCATACTGAAGGAGAAAGTTGAGACCGTTCCAGTCTGGACGGACGACATTGTTGGCTTGTGCGATGGATTCCACAGAAGAGAGGATAGCATTTTTATCAGTTCTGTTGAAGAGCCCAGCACCAACAATGATTGCAGGGTTTTTGGCGTTCTTGAGAGCCGCACAGAATGGGTGTCGTCCCTCAGCAATTTCCTTGAGGGTATCAGGCCCAGTCCCGAGGTGTTTGCAGTCGTAGTTGAACTCTGCAGGTGGACCAACGTATCCAACCTTGGCATTTGATGCACGGACTGTCTTGCAGATCCTAGCATTCACCATTGCAGCTTCAACCCTAGGCTGGTAAAAATAGACAGAAACCGGTGAATGTACTTCTAAAAAAACCTTCACAGCGTTGATATCTGAAAGAATAAGTTTTGCTAATGAGAAACCAGCAGCCTGATCATATCTGGATTGACCCGGATCAGGAAAATTAAATATCAAGCGAAATGTTAACATCTGATCTGGTTTTTAGAAACCTATTTTTGCTTGCTTCTCCCTTCTATTTGCCTACGTATTCCAAATTTTGATATGCACAGAACCTTTAGCCACACCACCAAATCAGACTACACAATTTGGTTTTTCTTATGTCATTGTTCCAAAGCATAGAGCGGTCAGTCTAATCCGGTACCAGTAACCATACAAAAAGACAGGGCGGAAATCTCACCTGGGTACCAATTAGAAGGAAGAGATCGGCGTTCTCAAGTCCACTGATACTAGTGTTCATCAGATAACTGTACCTAAGATCAGCATCAACACCAGCAGCTGTTCCTTCACACCAGACATTGTCTGAACCCATTCTGTTAACGAAGTCCTTCAGTACCATCATGGATTCCGCATCAGATAGCTGACCTGCTACTCCAACAATCTCATCTTGCTTCACCTGATGAATGATATCACCCACGACAGCCAAGGCATCACGCCAGCTCACTGCCTTGAATCGTCCATCGGAATCTCGGATCATAGGGTCGCTCAGCCTTTGTCTTTTCAAACCGTCATAACAGAATCGGGTTTTGTCAGATATCCATTCTTCGTTTATATCCTGTATAAGAACATTCACAAGTTCAACATCCAGCAAAATACTTATAAAAAATAGTGTTTTTGAACAAAAGCATAACATACCTCATTAAGGCGTGGAATGATACGCATCACTTCTGGTCCTCGACTATCAACACGGATGTTGGACCCAACAGCATCACTAACATCAATAGTTTCTGTTGCTTTCAACTCCCAGTTTCTGGCTTTAAACGCAAAGGGCTTTGAAGTCAAGGCTCCCACAGGACAGATGTCTATAACGTTTCCAGAGAGTTCACTGGTCATAAGCTTTTCAACATAAGTTCCAATTTCTTCTCCACTACCACGACCTAGTATACCAAGATCCTGAACCCCAGCAACTTCTGAAGCAAATCGTACACACCTACAAAAACATTATACATACATAACCTAATCAATAGGATAGCATATCTATCACATCAACAAAAACATCACACTTTAACCAAACTATTATGATAACCTTGTACACTGGATACACCGAGTCATAACAGTCTTCACAAGAGGACCAAGGTTCTTATCAACAACAGATCTTTTCATCTCAGTAAAACGACCTCTGTCAGATCCAAAAGCCATAGACTGATCCTGAAGATCACACTCTCCTCCTTGATCACAAATAGGGCAATCTAAAGGATGATTCATCAACAAAAACTCCATCACTCCCTCCCTCGCCTTCTTCGCTATCGGCGTATCAGTCTTAATCTTCATCCCTATTAAAAAAGACTCTTAGTAGTCTACCATTATACTACATTACAGAACACAAAACATTGGCTTTGATTGGTAACCTTGTACAAGATTTAGATACCACTATTTCTTACAGTTTTGCACTATTCCGTAAAAGCTTACCGCTCCAGCTTACTGTGTTACCAATCGACACATTACCTAAGAACGAATTTTGAAGCAAATGGTATAACAATAGCACCAAATCCAAATTTCTTTTACCAATCAACGATCAAATCAATCCATCAGCATAAAAAATCTCCTAGAATCCAAACTTCGTTGAAACTAACCTGGAAGTGCAGGCATGGCACACGACGCTACAGGCTTAGGAGATTTCTCAACCTCAACAAGACACATCCTACAATTTCCAGCAATAGACAAACGAGAATGATAACAAAACCTTGGAATATCAACTCCAGCGACCTCACAAGCCTGAAGAACAGTGAATCCTTTAGGGACTTTGACCGCGTAACCATCAACGAAAACCTCGATCGCATCTTCAGGATTCGAGAAATGGACGCGTGCTCCACCTACAGGGTTTCTAGGAGGGAGAATCTGTGTCGGTGGCTCAGGCTCAGAGACAGCAGCGGATTCAGGAGATTGGAGCTCTGGTTTGGAGACGATGGTGCGGAGGAAGAAATTGGAGTTGTGTGATTGAAGAAGACGAGAAGCTGGTCGAATTGTTCGAGAAGCTAAGATGCCTAAACCCATGGCGTTGTGGATCTGTATCGTCTTCTTCTTCTTCGTGTGTGTGTGTATTTCTCGATCTTGTTGTGAACTCCTGAAGCATTTGTGGGAGAGAGGAGGAGACACGAATGAGTGAGTTTTGGGCTTTATGGGCTTTGTTTTTTGATTCTATAATTGGGCTTACGAATGAGTGAGTTTTGGGCTTTATGAGCTTTGATTTTGGATGGTAAAAGCGGAATTTGTTTTTCTTTTTGACATCTTTCATTTATCTAATTTGAAACAAACAAAGAGATCATATTAAGATGATTCAAGTAAGAGAAATTGCCTCTAATAGCTCAAATCAAGTTTTTTGGATAAGAATAGTATTCAAAAGTTTATTGGACAAAAATAGCACTTTATTTTTGATTTTTTAAATTATTAAATAATTATAAATAAATAAAAAAATTCACAAATTC